TCCTCATTGAAGTAGTTTTGAAGAAAATTGCGAGCTAATAAAAAACATTTGCTAGTTAGTACTTTTTTTAAAATAAATTTTTGAAAAATCACCTCTGAAAAAAAAGGCGTTATCCCCTCTATTTCATTATTTCCAAAAAATTTTATCACCAATCGATAGAAAATTGTTTGAAGATTTTTGCGAGTCAAGAAAAAATCGTCAATGCAATCCTATTATTGTGTAAATTAACAATTCCAATTTCAACTGAAACGAATACTTTCATCGAAAGTATGTGGAAAAAGTGAAAACTGAAAATTTTAAACTGAACTAACTTCCCAAGACCTATCCAATTCCGAACGGAAAGACCTAAGCAGAACTTGTCAGGTCCAATTAGAATTTCTCTAGAAAATTTCTCTCCGTGTAGATACTTAAAAAAGAGAACCTTTCACAATATGAATGCAGCAGAGTACATCTCTAGGTACAAATACTTCAAATAAAAAAACCACTTCACCCCATCAAGATACCAAAATCTGACCTCCAATCGCGAATCCATTCCACCAAAAGGAGTGTCTAGCACCAATGAGAAATACATCCCCGATCACCGATAGATAAAAACTGGAACCTGATCAAAGTGTCACTGACCTTTTGTAGCGAGCTCCATCGACACATCCCCCAAGAGCCACTCAATCGACCTCCAATAAGTGAAGATGGCGAGTCGAGTTCCACTCGGTTCTCCCCTCTCGCCGCACAGACTCCAAGCGCGGCGAAGAAGGTGTCATTGTCTTTTTGCAATTTTTCTCCCTGCTCCCTTGCACTTTGGGCTTTTTATTTTATACCTCACCGACCTATCCACTCAATTCGAAACCACCTCGAGGCAATTACAGTTGGCGGAGGAAAAAGTTTCCACCCAAGTTCTCGCAGCGTCCTAGTTGTTTCTGTTTTATTCAGTGGTCGATGTAGCGTAAGAGCAAACTGAAGCTGTTTACTTCTTTTCTGGTTACCACATACTTTGGCAGAACGGATAAACTCTTTTCTTGTGTTACATTTGCGATAGCTAACCCGTGATTTATTGGGCCGATAAATTATGGGGAATCGGTATCTTGTTGAGGAAGGTTATGGCTTATTGTTTCCGAGTGGAAGCGTTGCATTCGGCAAAACCGAAATTTCCAATTTTTTATGTCAGTTTGAATTTCATTTCGTTCTATCCTCCTACAGACCAGCATTTCAAAAGGTCGAGGGTAAAGTGCGAAAAACGTTATATTCCGAATTGAAAAGAAATTATCAATTCATCAAAGTGCTTTTCATTTTCAGCTCTCTAGATCAATATCAATGAATAAAGTGGGTCAGCAATTGAATTGTGCTCGTCCACTTTAATCAATTTTCAAAAACTATGAAAAAAGTCATTCATTGAAATTTTTCCAATGAGATTCGTATCATTGGAAGGTCATGTGTCATTTCCAATTGAATGAGACTGTTTCAATTCATGTCAAGAGCGGTTCTCGATTTTAAAACTGGAACATCAATTGAGTTACGATATTTCTGTTACAGGTGGATTTTTAGGGGACATTGCCCTGCCAAATGTTCAATATGAAACGGAATGGCGTCAGCAAAAGTTGAATAAGAGTTATTTGGAGGAACTCGAGAAATACAGAGATGAGGTGCTGAAGGAAGGTCTGCAGGTTGAAGAAGAAGGTTTAACAGGTACTTGGCAGTTCCTGTCAATTGATGTATTCAATTAATTACCGACTTATTGCCTTGACAGTGAAATACCAACAAAACCAAAAAATTATGCTGTCAAGTTCGGAATGACATTGTTCTCGGCTAATAAGGAGATCCCAATCACAGAGAAAGCGGAGTTTTAGTTCTTGAGGATAAATTCGTAATTTGTCGGAAATGATCTCTAATTTTAAGGGTAATTCTAGTTACACTAAGAATTACTTGATATAAGAAAATATTCTCTCGTCAATTTTAAGTATCGTGAAATCTCCGGATAAATAATTTCGTTCTCAGACTGAGAGAAAAAAGTTTTCCAACAGGATGAGATTCTCTTGTTCCGGGAGAATTTTCAAGCGTTCTGAAGACTAGAAATAATGTTCTTCCCATAAATTCATTTAGTTTGCGTTATAACTAGAATTTCTTTTCATCGGGACTTCAATTATATAAAATCTTGCAGAAAGAGCAGAACCTTTGAGATCAATTTTCTGTACACTTGAATTGATATGAATGTTTTCGTCGTGCAATCGAAACAAGAATTCCTCAGTTGGAGATGATGAGTGATGACATCGGGAAAGTGCGAATTCTTACAATCCATTTAATTCTAGAGATAACGCAAACTATATGGATTCTAGAAATTGTCGAGAGAATATTGTCTTGTATCAAGGAAAATAAGAGGAAATTCTACAGAAAATATCTCAATAGAATAAGTTATATAGAAAAATCGAATTCCATTATAGCAACTTCTTATATTGAGTATTTTCTATTGAAAAATTGAATAGAATCGGCCAAAAACTAATAAAAAGTTCAATAGAAATCGAATAGAATCTTTCAACTAATTCGAGAGGGTTTTCTATTAAATTCCTTCATCGCTACTGCGTGCTTTCAAGGTTCAGCAAAAAGCTAGAAACATTGAAGAATTGATTGACAAAGTCATGCTGCGCCAGTTTGGTCAAAATTTTAGTGAACTAAGATTATTAATTCCAAGCAATTTTCGAATCTATTGATTGCCAATTCGGTAGTTCAATGATAAAACGACATAATTCATCTTGAAATGAAGGTGAACTTTCCATAAATATCTTTGAATCCGCGGGATATGAAAAAACTCTTTGAGAAATTTCGCCAGTTGAATTCTGAGATATTCAGCAAAAACTGGACACAGGGTAAATTGACTTATCTCGTTTTACCACTTCACTACTGAATTGAATTACGAGATTACGAAAACTGGGTCGTCAGGCTCTCAATGAACTTCAATCCCCCTTATCCCTTGGGATATTTTTTTAGAAATTCTTCAGTTTAAAAGTGGCCAGGGTAGTGACGATCCGGGTCAGGACGAGTTTTCATCATTGGATAAGCCAGTGTCAGTGGTGGAGGACAGAAATCAGTACAACATGGGCGGTGAGCCAGAAGAATCTGTGGATAGGGTGGAGAAACATCCGGAGATCAAGGACGATGGCATTGAATTTAGGTATTTTCTTGAAAGAAGTCTTTGCGAAATTTTCAAATATTTTATGGGATAGAAATCACGACGCAGCGAAAAAAAAGCTGCACTACATTGTTAGAAATTTTTCGAAATTTCATGGAAAATATGAAATTATAATAATAGTAATTCTCACAAGAGTGACATTGCATCCGGTTTCGTGGAAAAATTGTTACGAAATTTCCGCTATAAAACTCCGAATGACAACCCCTCGATCTCCTAAACTTTCGGAGATCCACGGGAAAAATGATTTCACTTAAGAATTTGTTTTCAAAGTATCCACTCAAGTCAACGGAAAAAACAACTCGTGTCTCACAGAGTTTCCCATCTGATATTTTGCTGACTGTTCATCAAAAACGTCTCAAAAACCAGTAATTTCAGTGTAAAAAATGAAAAAACTCCTTCATTTTTCACGACATTTCTCCGCATTTCCATCCAAAATTGGAAAATCGAAAAAAATCACAATTTCGTAGCCTCCATTCGGAAGCAATAAATCTTGGAGAATAAAAGAAAAACATTCGATTGCCTTTTCAGATTGGAAGAGACGACGGAAGGCCCTAACAAATCCCGTCTCACCAATTTCATAACCACGGGAAAACCCGAATGGCAGCCACCGAGAATCCAGGACTCAACAAGAATCCCCAGAACGAGACACTCGCATCACAGCCGCAGTGAATTGACAACAAAAGAGCCAACGGATTCGCTTGTCGATAGAACAACGACTGACGTTAGCTCGAGAAAACGTCAGCGTCGGCACCATCGCAGAAGGTAGATCGATTTTCCTCCATTTACCATTTTTATTTCACTCCGCATTTTCCGAAAAATTGAAACAGTCACGTTTGTCTTATGGAAAAAATGTCAATCAAAATCGAAAACTTCTCCAACCGGTGAAAATTTATTCTCAGCATCGGGACGTCAATTCAAATCATGAATTTTATTCTTTCTCCTAATAATCGTGACAAACCCGCGGTATATTCTATATTTTGACTCACTCCGAATCTGTCTGAAAAAAAAATTATTTTAGGAGAAAATGTCTTTTCATATTGATTCATAAAACGACCAACGAAAATCGTATGTCCCAATTTATGAGCTGTTAAACTTTCCTATTGTAAAAGGTGATTTACTCATGTTTTAATTCCTATATTATTAAATAAGCTTTAAAATGAGACCTTATTTGCCCAATTGTGCCAATTTATCATTAACTTACAAGAGTTTTAGGCGAAAATTGAATTTTCATGTTTCACCTTGAAAATTAATTTTGGTTGGATTTTTCGATGCTTTTAAGGTGTAACAGAATGCGGCCAATTTTCCAAACTTTTCAACAAATTTCCTACCCAAAGTTATCGATATTTTTACAAATCAAAACACATTACCCTCCAGGAGGCGATGATGAAGGTCAATGTGCTTTGGGTTAAAAAAATACCAATAACTTTGAGCATGAAATTTGTTTGAAAATTTCGAGGAAATGTTGGCCTTCTGTTACCCCTTAAGTGGACTAGACAAGAACATATAATTTTGAAGAGCATTCACATGTCCTTGCAAATCGCAACTCTTTCCTCTCTGCAAAGTTCTACATTTTCTACATCAATACATTCCCCTCAGAAACGATCCATTTTGAGAGATTATATCACGAGGCTATTCCCCAGCTGAAAAACTTTCCCAAGTGAAGTGAATATCCCTCAACATTTCTCCACAAAAATAACTCATCACCGAGCCAAAATCAAACTATCAAAATTTAAATATCCCATAATGCCGCACAGATCAACTTGTCACGTCTTCCCCCACTGTTGAAAAATGAATTTCGCTTCAGCAAAAATACAATCCCCAACACTTCCCTCAGTGATTCGATAAGAAAGTTGACGTATTGAATCGGAAATTCCTCTCCTCCAATCCCCCCCGAAAAAATCTCCACTTTATCCCTTCATTTCCCTCCATTCACCCACTCAAATAAATAAAAAATAAACATCCCCGACAAAATAAACCCCTCCAATTCCCCGCGAGATCGAAAATATGTGGTAGTGTCAGACGCAGAATTCAGTTGAACGCCATTGATTAACGAAATCGAGTGAATTTGAGCATGTAACCCACTTTCTCCACTGGTACAATTAAATTCTCCGCATAACTCGGCGCATCATCGAAGGAACACCGCGTATGGAAGGAGTAGTATAGCCTGGGGAGTTTGTAGTGGGCTAATGTTGTGGACCGGAAGTACCCCGGTGTGGCCGTCTCTGTATCTCGGGCAGTACCTCGATGCCAATAACAATGGCCGTCATCATAAAGCCAAGAAAATGGGCTACGATACTACTACACCGAGTGTGCGAACGGTTTTACCTCGAACCACTCGCTCGCACTACATCCCCCTCCCCCTGCCACATACGCTGCACCCAACAGAACTGCCAATAACCTGTCAGTGAGGGTATGCACACGATAGCTCTTATGCACGTGCGGATGTTATCGATATAATAATACTGGACCAAATGTCGTCCTTAATATTATTATTGGTGAAAAAGGATTTTAGTTTTATGGTTTTCGATAAAAAAAAGGGGGTGTTTTTATCGTTTCATTTTATCCTCCGGTGTAATGAAGATGGAATTGAGAATTTTATAGAAATCGGATTTAATTGGGGGAGAGGGGGTTGAATGGAAGAATGGGGTGAAATGGGTAATGAACGAAACAATTACTTTTATTGAGATGTTTCTTTCTTGGAATAAGTATCATATACTTGAACCAATTTCAAATAAATAAGATCTTATGGTGGATATCAATTCAGTAGCGAAGTGGTAAAAGGGTATAAGTCAATTTTGGCTATTGACCAGTTTTTAATAAATATCTCGGAATCTAAGGGAGATGGGAAAATTTTTGTTATGACCTCTATTGTAGAGCCGATTGAGAGCTATAACAAATGTAGTTACGGAAATTTCGCTATCTCCGTTAGATTCAGAAATATTCCGCAAAAACTCAACTGGGAGATGAGTCCAATTAAACCGGTTTACCACTTCGCTACTGAATTATTTCTTCGTGAGATAGATTTACTTGAATCAAATAAAATAATCCTTCGCGTCAAGACACGTGTATTTACCACGAAAAGGGAAAAGTTCTTTTTTTGTCAACCTAATAGAATTTCCAGTCGAGAAATTTTCTGCTTCCATGAATTGATCAGAAATTCGGACCTAGGAGATCATTACATTGAGGAATGAATATTTGCTACAGAAAACGTATTTTATTATAATAAACAAGAAAGTAGAAACATCCGAAAATATTTGCAAAAATATATTTGAAAAAAATTTGACTATTAATGTAAGTATTAACATCTGTCTCCTGAGAATTAATGGAACTACGACATGTGAAGTTGGCGGACTGTCACAATAGACAGCTCTAGTTATGGAAAGCCCAGCAATATTGAGTGTGCCCAGTAAATGGATGGGTGACCAGAAGGAAACACCTGAGAAAATAAGCCAGCAAAAGTGTGCAGAGGTAAAATAATCCGTGGAATGGTACGGCATCCTTCACTCCCACTTTCCCTCAGGGGAGATTGGAGATGAAAAATAATATTCTACAGAATTAATTTCTCCTTTGTGTTTTATTCTCTTTATAATATCTTCGTAATATGTTATCACTCCAATTTTTGCTACAGAAAAATATTTTATTATAATAAACAAGAAAGTAGAAACATCCGAAAATATTTGCAAAAATATATTTGAAAAAAATTTGACTATTAATGTAAGTATTAACATCTGTCTCCTGAGAATTAATGGAACTACGACATGTGAAGTTGGCGGACTGTCACAATAGACAGCTCTAGTTATGGAAAGCCCAGCAATATTGAGTGTGCCCAGTAAATGGATGGGTGACCAGAAGGAAACACCTGAGAAAATAAGCCAGCAAAAGTGTACAGACGAAAAATAATCCGGGGAATTGAGCTGCATACTTTACTCGCATTTTCCCTCAGGGGAGATTGCGGATGAAAAATAATTTTTTACAGAATTAATTTCTCCTTTATTTTTTATTCTCAAAGGAAGTGATTTTTTCGCGCCGATAGAACGAATACTACACGTGTTATCGACTACTCTGAACCAAGACATTAATCTTCGTGTGGTTGAGCAATTCCATCGAAGAGCCCGAGACGGTTATTCACTCGCAGGCCTCGTCGACAAGACCAGAACTGAGGCAGCCCGCTCGAGCAGAAGTACTAGCGCACGTCTATCCCCTGCATGTTCATTCATCTCCATGCGCTCGTTCACAAACTCATTCCCACGTGATTTATCGAAATCGAAGTATCGCTTTACGCCCCGGGGTTAATCGCATATTCCCGGACCACTTGTGGGTTGTTGCAAGCGAGAAAATCGGGGGGAGAATGGATACATTTTTGTCTGAGTCATGTCTTAAGTCGATTCTCATGAAAGTGACATTAAATCGAATTTAGGGGAAAAATGGATGTCTGAGGTAAAATTTAAAGAAATTCATGAGTTTTCGGTGGGAGTGAGATGGAAATTTCACAACTTCATTGGGTTTTCAATGGAACATGAATATTCGCAAAATAAAATGACATGAATTTTCAATTTTTCCTTGAATTTTCCTGATTTTTTTGAATTTTCGGAGAATAATTCAACTGAAAAATTGAGTGTTTTATTGATTTGCCGATCATTTGAACCGAAAATTAATGGAATATTTGATTTTTCGATGACTATATTTCCCGAAATTTCAGTGGAAATTGAACACGATAAAATTTATCAGGATTTGATACGAACAACTCAGACGAAAATTTTCAACTTGAAATTTCAAGAGCAATTTTCTAACACCGTAGTAAAATTCTGAATACGAATAATTTTGTTATGATTACGTACAAATGATTGTTATGATGGAAAATTGATTGTTTAGTATCGGATGAAAATCCTCAGTCAAGCATCGGAATAAATTTCTAAAAGTGCACTTATCGAGACGAAAAATAAATTTCTTGTCTCAACTTCTTCAGAAAATGCTGCCGGTAAAATTACAACGATTGTCGCGTCTAACAGAGTGATATGTCAACTAGGAAATAGCCGATTGAAAACTATATACAACGGACTCACTACACCATCCATCCAATTCCTCTCGAATCCTCTGTCACGTACAATAGTTTCCCGCTTCTCGTATCTACGTGACACGAATATTTGCATCGCGAGTATTCCAATTTCTCCGCCTCCTTCCTATTTTTTGTGTTTCATTTTTTTTTGTACTGTCGTTGTTTTGCTCCTAGTCTGTCGCCCAGAGAGGAGCCCTGTAAACACGAGCACGTTACAAATTGCGCTTGTAATGTTTGTATTTTCAAACAAATGGAATGAGTTTATTTTATTTGGACTTTTCTACTACCCATTTCATCTGCCCTACCGCCACCTCATTCCGAGGATGATTTTATTTTTCTCATATTTTTTTTTTTCATCACCATTAAACTTTTATTCGCCGGTATATCGTAATGTGAAATTTGTGTAAGAGCGGTTTGTTTCATGCAAATTTTGGACTGGAGGATTTTTTTTCGAGGACCCACCACAAAAAATTATCTTCTGAAGATAAACATGGGCATATTTGTTTGAATATAACAGCAAAAATTTCCTGCCGGGAATAAAACCGAGAAAAATAAATATTCACCTGAATTTCTCTGACTTATACTCATTTTCATGAAATAATTGAACTAAAATTAACAGTTTCATTGATTTTTGCATAAAATCTTGAATTTTTAATGCCACAATTTCTTGAAATCTGAGGGGAATTACAATATGATGAAAATTTGTAAAAAGTCTACCGGAAACTTCAGCCAAAAATTTTGAGAGTGCATGAGTCTTGTCTGAGTGGAAAATTAAGGGATAAAACTTTGATGGATCAGACCTCGATAAGCAGAACTTCAATACATCGAAAATCCATTAGTCAAACTATAATAACGTCGAAATGGTCCCATTCAACTTCAAATAGAACATCGATATACCGAACTTCGCCATATCAAACCTTTTAGTGTTTCCAGGACGAACACACGACGAACAAATGATTCCTTACGAGGAACAAGTAAAATAAAGAATCGTTTGTTCGTCCCGAAAACACTGCTATCATCTTGAGCAATTGCAATCTTCGACTATTTTCATTGAATTGATTATCAATCAATTGAAAAAAAATAAAATTCTTGCAAATATTCAGGACAATAGCAGTGTACGGAGAGAAATTTTTTAGAAAAATTCTAGTGCTAGCACAGGAAAAGAGGCGCAAAGTGATGGCCAGGAAAAAAATTTAGTGCCGGCACTAGAAATTTTATTGGGAAAAACGTGAATTTTTCCCCGTATTTCTGCGAAAATTTTACAGAAATCCCCTGAAATTTGACCCGAAATACCACGAAATTTTACGTTAAAAGCACTACAATTTTTCACAGCCGGTGGATTGTAATTTTTTCGAGTACTCGTACTAGAATTTTTCTAACAAAATTTCTCTCCGTGGGTTTCCAGGACGAACAAACGACAAACAAACGATTCCTATATAGCCCCTGACCCCCGTGAAAATTTAACAGCTGATAAATTGGGATATACAATTTTCATTGGTCGTATTTGCTTTTTGCAATGAGAATGGTCATAAACAATGAATTGAAAAAAAGAATGCCGAATCTGACAGCAAAAAGGGCATAACGGAAGGGCATCAACTGGCATCGAAAATTCAAACCCAGTCAAATGCCCGTTTGACTCAAAACGAAGATCTTCCCTGGGGTCCAAGCAATCCCCATATTTCAATTAAATTATTAAATCCTATTTACACTAATTACCGAATTCGGGTGTTAAATTAATACATCCATTCCCCAAATTCTGGTCACGTTCTTCGGTGCTGTTGAACTTCATGGGGTTAGGCGTCACCTCGAGCACGTTAGACCATAATTCGTTTACGGCTGCAGGGGGTGTTTAATTAATTGTAATACCTCCAATTCAATGCAAAACGTGCACTTAAACCACTAATTATTGCGGGTGTAAAAATGAAACATCGTTGAATATTTCTAGCTTTTAGGGTTATTCTCTGGGGACGGAGAAAATGGGGGGTCGTCAATCAAAACAATGCAGGAGCACACGGGAGAGAGTGTACAGGTGGTACCGCCCTTCAGCAATTTTACCCACTGGTCGTAAAGTACCGCGCTGTCTGCTTTCCTATTACACGTTAAATTTCGCAACATCCGGTTTATTGCTCGGAACTTGGGGCTAACGTTCTTTTTATTGGATGGGATCATCTCATTTTTTTTCATGGGATATTCATTTTTTGTCGTGGATAATAGAAATTTTATGATTTAAAAAATGATGAAATGATGATGATGTTTTTTATAGATATAAATATATAAAAAAACGTTTTCGGAAAAAGAAAAAGGGGAAGAAGATGGGGGAGAGCGGGATGAAGTGAGCGATGGAATAATATTAAATGTATGCGGAGAAAAAGGTGGAGACAAATTACCGAAAAAGTCGAGTCGCGACATGAACAGTGTTAACAATTTTCGTCCGAATTTTCCGTGGCAAATCCCGGGAATTTTTATCAAGTTTAATTTCAACTAAAGTTTCAGGAAATCTTGTCTTAAATGAATATATGAATAAATGAATAAATGAACAAATGAATAAATGAATAAATGAATAAATGAGTAAATAAATGAATAAATAATTCCAAAATTCAACGATATAAAAATAAAACAGTTCCGAATTACTTTTGACAAGCGAAAAATTTCTGAACAATTACTTTTCAGAGTGACAAGAAGACGCCCCCATCAGCGCCGCCTGAAATCCCCGTTCCCGAGAGACTCAGCACCGCCAAATGCAGACTCCGACATAGTTTCGCTGCACGATCGTCGTTTACGTGACATTGAATTCTACAATGAGCACAAGTCGAAGTTGGAGACGCACCAGAGACATGGGGCGACTCGCAGTGGGGCTCCCAGTCGACGAAGACGAGCGGCGACAGCGAGGAAGGAGAGGGTTTGGGATCACGGGGTCATCCCTTACGAAATCGACGGCAATTTTTCGGGCGCGCACAAAGCATTGTTTAAACAGGCAATGAGACACTGGGAAAACTTTACCTGCGTCAAATTCGTGGAGAGAGTCAGCAGGGAACATCCCAATTACATTGTATTCACTGAACGTCCTTGTGGGTGTGTAAAAATTACATTCTATTTACCTAAGTGCATTCTTTTGATAATGAATCAAGATAAGAAAATTTACCATCGAAATTAAGGAGAAAAAACGTATTTGATTGAAGAAAAATATCCGATTTTTCAAGTTTTTCCGGTCCTTTATGCCAGTAAGCGGTTTTAGGGAAAAATGTTAGGGGTTCATTTTCGAGATCGATAAAATTATCGACAGAAAAGTTTATTGTTAATTTGTTTTTAATATTTCAGTAATCACTGCTTTCCATGTTGTGAATTTAAACTAAACACGAATTAACGAATTAACAAATCTCGTTTGGAATAAATGAATCATTCTATCAGTGCAGACATGGAAAAAATGGCCGCCAGTCGGTGACAGCTCAAAAAGTGACTCTCTCTAATTTTACAATCTCTACAGTCGACTCCCAGTATTAAAAAAAATCCTAATGAAGAGAGATATCGGAGGTTTTTCTATATTATTTACCTCCTGATAAACGAAGCGTCTCGGTTAAAAGGTATAACGGCCCGTAAAACCTGGAAGCTAGACGGCCTCGAAAACATGGCAACATACGCAGGGATGTCTTCGAAAACGTACACCCAGAAAAATGGTTTATTTGAATTAAATAAATTTTATCTGAATCAAATCAGTAGCGAAGTGGTAAAGTGGTAGAAGTCAATTTTGACTATTGACCCGTTTTCAATGAATATCTCGGAATCTCAGGGAGATAGCAAAATTTTTGTTACAACCGTTTTTGTAGAGCCGGTTGAGAGCTACAAAAAATGTGATTACGAAAATTTCGCTATCTCCTTTAGATTCCGAAATATTTTTCAAAAACTCAACTGGAAGATCTCAAGTCGATTTAAACCGTTTTATCACTTCGCTACTGAAATAAATCATTCATTTGACTTTAATAGAGGATTTATTCGATTCAAATAAAGTCTATTTAATTCAACTAAACCATTTTTCTTGGTGTATCCGAATGATCCTAGAGGCAAGGAAATTCGGAGAAATCCCGAAAATTCCGCATTCGATTCTCGGGGTAATCGCTATAACTTCATTCCTTCCGGTTGGGAAGTTAAAAAACCTAAAACCGTCATGACATTGATGGAAAAATTACGCTTGCGAATGCAATTGAGTTTTCTGAAAATTTCCCGCAGCTTTTAATCATCCTTGACACCAAGCTGTGTTCACACAACTTCAAACTAAAGTCAAAGTGGAATTGACTCCTATTGATTCTCCAATCCGCCCCTAAATCACTTGATTAACAAAAAAACTTGCACTCACCAGTTGCTGTTCGTTCGTCGGGAAGCGTGGCAACGGTCCCCAGGCGATCAGTATTGGCAAGAATTGCGATAAATTTGGCATAGTTGTCCACGAATTGGGTCACGTTGTGGGTTTCTGGCACGAGCACACTCGTCCCGACCGCGATCGTCACGTCCAAATAATCCGTGACAACATTATGACAGGTGAGTAACAACTAATGAACAAGTCACACCCCCATCCAGCCCCCTGAATCAACACCATCAGCACTCAAATGGTGTCATAACCCCCGGGGGATGCTGAGATTTATCCAAAATACGTGACTGAGCCCGAATTTCCCGTACTAGAGTCAAAGTAAAATTTAACTGAGCGGGAAAAGGGGTGGAAGGGGCTTCTCGTGGGAATTAATGGGGCAATTTGCGGTGGCGGCAGAGACCCATACCTTTCGATGAATCATTAAAGGCACTAAAATGCGTAAACTACACGAGAGTCTAATATTTGCCATTATCCAGTCCCTTTACGGCACTTCCGATTGAACTACGAGGGTTTCTGACCGAGCGATTTACAAAGGACCACAATTACCGGATACATGTACCGGAGCTACAGAATCGGTAGAAACTCGTTCGTTTGTGTTCGGTGGGCGATTTAAAATGTCTGATTTGGTACAAGTCCTTTGTATCCCTTACTTTCCTTGTTCACATTTGTGGGATAGATATTTCAAAATTCACCGAAAACATTAAGATTACACTGTTGAAGATTTTTGTCTGAACTTTCCGTAATTTTTCCAAATCCTGGAAATTTTTAACCTGTTCAATTTCCACTGAATTTTTTTTTTTTATTAATCAGCTGATCGATTAAAAATGATTGGCTAATCCCCTCCCCCCACCTCACACCCCCCGCCACCACAGGAGCTCAGAATTTCTCTCCGTGCAGTGTAAGATTTTTTTTCTTGTCAAACTTCGAGGCATGAGCTTCTTGATACAAGTCAAGACGTACACGGAGGGAAATTTTCCAGAAAAAATCTAGTACGAGTACTGGAAAAAATCACAATCCACCGGCTGTGAAAAATTCTTGTGCTGTTAACGTAAAATTTCTCACGATTTTTGTGAAATTTTACCAGAAATACAGTAAAAAATTCACGTTTTCCCCAGTAAAATTTGCAGTGTCAGCACTGGAATTTTTTCCTGGCCGTGACTTTGCGCCTGTTTTCCCGTGCTAGCACTAGAATTTTTCTAAAAAAATTCTCTCCGTGTGTTTCTCAACAAACTTTATTGCCTCAGTGTACAGTCTCCCGAGATATCCGCAAAATAATCTGAGAATTCCATTGGGACTAATGTTTCTCCACCCCTTCATTGATTTTCCGCGAACTCCGAATTCCATCGGCTGAACTATTAAACCAGAATTCTGAATTTGTCCGACAGGTCAAGAATACAATTTCAATAAATTAACAAACGAGGAGGTGGACTCCCTCGGTCTGCCCTACGACTACGACTCGATAATGCATTACGCCAAGAACACATTCTCAAAGGGTACGTACTTGGACACGATTCTCCCCATGGAGAACATCGGCAAGAAGAGGCCAGAGATTGGACAAAGGATTCGTCTTAGTGAGGGTGACATTGCGCAGACCAACCTGCTGTACAAGTGCCACAGTGAGTTTTTTGCGCATCACTCGGCGAGCGTTGTAATGGATTTTTTTACGAGGTTGTAAATTGTTTAGAGTGCGGGAGAACTTTCCAAGAGAACAGCGGTAGTTTTGGCTCCCCAACGCATCCCAACAGCTCACCACCTATGGAGGATGAGCGATGCGAGTGGAGGATTACCGCCACTCACGGAGAGCGGATTGTGTTGAATATTACGTCGTTGGATATATTCAAGAGTGACTACTGCAAGGTCGATTATATAGAGATTAGGGATGGGTATTGGTACAAGAGTCCAGTATTAGGTAAATACTATTCATGGTTGTTTGCTATGATTTGGTGGCATTCAAATATTAGGAGCTTGCGACGCTTTGCGGGGGAAGGGGAAGCGGTTGCTTGTATTGTGATGTCCCGCGTAGAACCCTCAATCCTACCCTACCCCTCCTATCCACAAAATCTGATTTCCGAGGAAAAATAACACGGAAAATTGAATTTTCTCGAAAAGCAAAAAAGTTTTTCTTTCCGGGAGTGAACCTCTCCTCCCATCATTCACACATCGTGAATTTTTTGTATGAATTTCTTTAGGTCGTTTTTGCGGAAGTGGAAAGATTCACGAGCCAATAGTATCAACCGGAAGTCGTATGTTGGTAACATACGTTAAGACAAGTCAGGAGCGCGGTTACCGTGGTTTTACAGCAAATTACGAGGCTGTGTGTGGCGGAGACGTTGAGCTGGATGGCATTGGCCATCTGGAATCGCCCAACTATCCCGAGGAGTATCAATCAAGCAAGGAGTGTGTCTGGCGACTGACAGTGCCCGACGAGTATCAGGTGGCACTGAAGTTCCAATCATTTGAAATTGAAAACCATGACAATTGTGTTTATGACTATGTCGAAGTCAGGGACGGACACAATTCCGATTCACCGTTGATTGGCCTTTACTGCGGATACAAAGCGCCACCGGATTTACGATCTACTGGGAACAAACTTTTTGTCAAGTTTGTTAGTGATGGGTCGGTGCAGAAGGCTGGATTCTCTGCTACTGTTATGAAAGGTAGCACTAAGTTTACAGAACTAAATTTGATTACATGAATCCATATTGATGGATTCGTTATTGATGAAATTTAAATTTAAATTTAAACGAGGCATTATGCCATAAAGCGATGGACACTGTAAATTGCAGCTCAATTATTTCATGGAAATGAGTGAAAATGCACAATATTTGGGTAATTATACTCTTAAACTTTGAATATTTATTTTTTGATTGATAATTCAAGTAAGTTCCGGCATTTTCATCTTCTTGCTGCTCAAAACTGTGGAATTTCATTTGATTTAAAGTCAAATCTGAAATTTCTTCATTTTTTCCCCCTAAATTCAATTTAACGTCACTCTAATGCAAATTACTAGATAAAAATTCCGTGAAACTTCAATTTTTTCATAGAAGTGTATCAAAAAAATCAATAGGAAATCTAACGCTAGAAGGTGAGATCTTCGAATATCAATTTTATTCAAATTTTATTGAAATTTTAGAAAAAATTTATTGGAAATTGATTTGTTCCTTGTAACGAGGAACAAATTACAAGTCTGCGGCAAAAGAATTCTTTAAAGTATCGAAGAAAATCTTTATAAAAAATTAATTTCTTCAATCGTTTTTATGGAATTAATGCAAATAATTAACTTATTTCATCAGTAACATGAATATTCTTCCCAGAATAAATTCCTTACAGGCACCAATCCATGATTATCATTGATCGCTGTAAAAACTATTCACATTTTGAATTTAGTTGACTCTTTCTCATGTTTATTCACAAAAAAAAAAAAAATTTGTTTTCCAGAATATGATGAGTGTGCTTTAACTGATCATGGCTGTGAGCACGATTGCATAAATACCTTGGGGGGTTACGAATGTTCGTGTAAAATTGGATATGAGTTGCACTCCGATGGAAAACACTGCGAAGGTCTGTACTTTGTTTTACAGCAAAGAAAAAATAAATAAAACGGAATGTATTGGAAAAATATTGCAGAATAAATGGGTCAGATCGAGCCAATATTCTTTCCTCTATTTTTTCAGATGCCTGTGGAGGGGTTTTCGATGCCAGCAACGGTACAATCACTAGTCCTTCGTTCCCAGAAACATATCCGGGAAATAAAAATTGTATCTGGGAAATAGTGGCACCACCGCAGTATCGAATTACACTCAATTTCACTCATTTTGATCTTGAGGGCAACAAGGTTTATCATCAGGAGTGTGAATATGATTCTGTAGAGGTTTTTAGCAAATTAGGGGATGATATTCTGAAGAAACACGGGGTTTTTTGCGGATCGAAGATACCTATGCCGGTGATTTCGGAGGGAAATGCTATGAGAATTGTCTTCACTTCTGATAAAGAGTAAGTTCTGGTCATTATTTGATGATTCCCAAATTGAATTTAATTCAGGAATACCTTGAGAAACAATTTTTGTAATTTTTAAAAGGTCGATGGACTTTTCTTTGCATCTTTAAATTTACTAGTACTGGAGATATTCATAAAATAATGAATTTCAATTAATTAAAATAATGATCATTCAATAATAATTTCAATTCAAAGGTATTCTCAACTAGATGAATAAGTATTTCCCGAGAATGCGGATTGGTGAAGTCGATCGAAGGAATCCTGTTCTTCTATTTATTTATTTATTTACTTATTTGTTTATTAATTATGTATTTATTCATTTAGTTACAACCCTATTCTACTTTTTCTCTCTTCTTGCACTGAGAGAAAAGACAACTTGTTCCCAATCAAATTTGATTTGAACCAAAAGAATTGCAGGTAGAAAATTATAAAGAATCGAAAATTTCATACTGAACATCTGTAGAGTGTTCTGAGGTGAAAAATCTTTGTTCTAAAAATAGATATGCTTGTTGCAAAATAGGAATCAGTGTCATTTCTGGCCCTGCCTACTTGTTATTCTGTACTGCCAAAAGTATTTTACTCGAAGATGGGAAATTAGTTCTGAAATGGAATAATGATGATATGACAGGCATTCTGTAACTTAGGGACAAACGATTTCTTTCTATTTCGAAAAGGCACCAACTCGTGTGAATGAGCCGCCTCTCGAGTCAGATATTTCATTGTTGAATGCAGAGCAATTACTCATGTCTGAAACTTTCGTACGTTCAAATGAAACAATTACGATTCCGGTACATTTCAACTCGCGAATTTTTTGGTTCAAATAAATCTTGTTTGAGAACATGTTTCTTCTCTCAATGTGCGAGTCTTGAAAATATCTAAAGAACACAAAATAATGTTCATTCAAATGCGTCATGAGATCGTTTCATGAATATCTCTATCTACAATTAGAAAACTCCTCGAAGAATTTTTCTCTAGAATTCAATCGATATTCGAACAATCCGCTTTTCGGAAAGTTGTCAATAAATTAAAGAATGGAGGTGTGTTTATCCCATTCATTTAAGGTATCTCCCAAACTAATACCACCCAAAAGTTAGTCTCCATATATCTCCGGAAAAAAATTCTAAATGACTTAATTTATCGCATTCTCATAAGTTCTTGAGTTTTTCTACCCTCACATGCTGTTGATGAAGGCAACAGTAACCGTTTGAATCATGTGAGAAATGCTTTCACGAAATTTTCATTTTTTAAACTTGAGTGTCGCAGAAACTATGTACTATAAAATTTTTCAGAACATCGTAAAAACCGTTTTCTCACAAGATGAAGCCTGCATTTTATTATTTATTATCTCCTAAACTGGGTAGTACAACTAGTTAAAATTTTGTTCAATAGCTGAGGAATATTATAAACATTATCTACGAAAAACGTGGGAGAATCGTAAGAAAACCGTGTTTTCTAGGGATATACCTTAATCAAATCAAGCATCCATTTGATCTTTCTAGCATCCAAAAATCGGGATTCGCAGCGGTATTTTTCACTGACATGGACGAATGTGCAATAAACAATGGTGGCTGTCAACACGAGTGTCACAACACGATCGGTTCCTACGAATGTTCCTGTCACAATGGCTTCAAACTCCACGAGAACCGCCACGATTGCAAAGAGGGTGGCTGTAAGTACGAGATAACGAGCCCAGTTGGAACCATAATGTCACCAAATTATCCAGACTACTATCCAGCACGTAAGGACTGCGTTTGGCATTTCACAACGACCCCGGGCCACCGTATAAAGCTCGTAAGACTTCAACATCTCCATTCGTTTTATTCCCTCCATCTGTTGTTGCCTTTTTTCCCCCCGGACGATAAGGGCTATGTGCGCTGGGTTAATGGTGCACCTCTGACATTTTTTTTTCCTCGCAGATTTTCAAAGTATTCGAAATGGAGCCCCATCAAGAGTGCGCTTACGACCACATCGCCATTTACGACGGGGATTCACCAGACAGTCACACGCTCGGAAGATTCTGCGGCACTAAAGAGCCTCATCCGATGATTGCCACTGGAAATCAAATGTTTATGGTCTTCAAGAGTGATGCATCTGTACAGAGAAAAGGATTTTTAGCTACTCACACAACTGGTAATTGTCATTTTATCTTCTTTTGCGGACGAATGGAAGCATTGAAATTACTCAATTTTTGGATTTTTTAATTTTGCTTGGAAATGATGTAGAATGTTGAAAAGTTGGAAATTTGTAATGTTTTTACGTTCGTCTTTGCAAATATTTGAGAAAAAGATTTTTTTTCAATTGACCAGTATTGAAAAATCTTTGACAAGTCCAAAATTTTTTCAATTTTAATTTTAAAATTAAAAAATTTTAAATTAAAAAGAAATTGAATTCAAATTAAAAATTTTTTTTTTATTTATTCCATTTCACCATATACCTCTCGGTTTTTACGCTTTCTTATTCCTTCATCCCGTTTTTTATTCCACATATTTGTTTTTCCCAAATGCTCTTTCCAGTTTTTCCAAACAATGTTTCTTCCCTGAGGTGTTCCCACGCGGTCACCCATCCATCTAGTGACCATGCTTAGCACTGATTAGCTTCCCAAGGCTAAGCCTGCCCACCACCGCAGTGCGCTAGCCCCGTAGGGCTTTTAAATTTTATTTTTTTATTTTAATTTTAAAATTTTAAAAATTTATGTTCACATTATTCCAAGCACGGTGAGACGCTTTTACTGGAATTTCTCTCCAGTCTTAATGTACTGAACAGGGTCATATAACATTTTTCACTGAACCCAGCAGTTGCTAAAATATCAGCGTTTAGAATTGATAATGCGTATTACTTCCCACCAACAATTGTGTCATTTTCCGGTTTTTTCAAGCTTGCGGAGGACACTTGATGGCCGGAGACACTCCGAAACACATTTACTCTCATGCGAGATACGGCAGTCATAATTACGACCACCGAACTGACTGCGATTGGACCATCGAAGCTCCCCTCGGGAAGAATGTGCATTTGACATTCCTGTCCTTCCAACTGGAGTACGAGGAGGATTGTACTTATGATTTCGTGGAGGTTTATTCGGGGCTGGACGCCTCCAGCCCAAGTTACGGAAAATTCTGCGACTCGGTAAGAACTTATTATTTCAACATAATCATGGATTTACGGAATATTTAACTGAGAATGCAAAAACATTGCATTAAAGAAAGGAATTTATATAGCGTTTCACATCTCTGTGACGTCGTAGGAAATAATTGGATTAGATTTGGATGGGGTAGGAGGGGAACCAGGATTATTCTCAATATGAATAACCAGAAACTTTTTACTGAAAAAATATGGATAGTCCGGACCGAGTTTTAAACCCTGGACCTTCCGATTGCGCATCGGATGCTCTCCCAATGGAGCTATCCGGCTTCTAGCCATTTCTTCATTTCAAATTTCTGGTACATATTGAGCTCCGCCGTCCTTCTTACGGCATTCATTTTCACATTAAAGATTGATGCTGATTTATGATGGAATTTAAAATACATCGTCATAGAAATTCCATTCGGAAGCAAATCGCTAATTTATTATCAAAAATAAATTGACTATGTTATGACAAATGCAATTTCCCCCAACTGGATGAAAAAAATTATAATGAAATCTTTTGTTAAACAAATAAAACATGAAGGCACAATAATTGGACGAAAATCATGAAACCCCGATATATTAGGAAATTGTAATAAAACACGAATTGAACAAAAATCTTTGCCTCTTAACGTCAATCCGGATCGAATCGTCTTTTTCTTTCAGAACATCACAGATATCGTATCAATGAACGAAGCTCTCCTGATTCGTTTTCGAACAGACGACACAGTATCAAACAAGGGTTTCTCAGCCGCGTTTGTAGCTGTTGATCGTCAAGACAGTGAAGAGAATCTCGGTGGGATTGACGAAGAGGATAATCTCTGATCGTTGAATGGGCTCGGGAATTTTCTCGAGCCCCAGGAGAGGACGACACCTCCCCCGAGACAGTTTGAGCCACCGCCGAATCGTCGGCCTATTTTCCCCAGCTATCCAGTCGTCAAAAAGCCACACAGACTCGATTTACCTGGGAGATCTCGTCGTGGAAGGTACAATGGTGCATCAGCAACCATGATTGGCGATAATTATCGGCCCCGTTACAAGCGAAAACGAAATCGCTCGTACCTCAATTAATGACAATTTAATCGGTTTTTTTTTCTTCGTGAATGATTGCAGGATAATAATCAACAATGATCGTGCCATGTAAGTTAAGTAGACGTATATTTGTGGAGATATTTTAGAAATACAATAATTGTAGCGATTTATTGATGATGATGATGATGATGATGATGATGATTAACGTGACACTAAAGTGAAGAAATAATTTTAATCACTGCCTCAAGCGCGTTGATCACTCGAAATTCTGTCTTAAGGAGGATTCAATTGTGAAATGCATTTCTTTCGAGTTTTAGGGATTTTTATGGATATATAGGTATTTACGAAATACTGAAGGATGTTTCGGAATAATAATCAATTGCAGTTATTGCAATGTTACTTTATTCTACTTGACTTCAGGAATTACTCGATATCGGAGTACAGAAGATGAGTCGAACGGATTGATAGGAATTATTGTGAAAATATAGCTCAACGTCCTCATATCAAAGAATGGGTTTATCATGGAAGTACTCCTTAATGAGACATTTCAAGAGAAATTGAGTGAAGAACTTTTTTTGATTCAACAAATTTTCTATAGAAGACATGATTCTATTAACTACAAACGTAGAATAGCTATATTGATTTAGACATATTCGCGGGATGGTCCGTATGAAATTATTAGTCAAACGTAACACTTAAAAACCTGGCGAATTCACTAGAAAATTCAGTTGGATTTCTTTTGAATTTTTTAGTAGTTTTTGGGCGATTCTATTGGAGAAACGTGCAATGGAAAATATTCCGTAGAAAACATCAATAGGATTCTATTTTTTTAATACAACTCACTCTATTGTCCTTTGATGTACAATCGATTCGAGTGATGAGTGATTTTTTCGAATGCACAAAACTCAGAATCTGATTCTTTTCCATCCAATCTAGTTTTATATCGAGTTATAATCTAAGTAAAAACTATCAGATATATGCACATAATTCCTTGATTATTACTATATCTTTATCTTTTTTTTTGCTTATGCATTTTCGTCTTTTTCTTCATATCAATAAAATCAACTCACTCTATTGTGATATTTTCTACAGGAATTCCTCGGTTCAAATTGTTCAATTTTTTTTGTTTTATTTTTGTAATGAAGTGAAAGGAAAAATGGAGAGGAAAAAACTTGGAAAATTCATGTCGAAGAATTCCTATATAAAATGTCTCAGTAGGAAAACTCGTACAGAAAGATGAAATTCTGCTGATTGTTTCTATAAAATACTTTGTATTGAACATTTTCTATTCAGAAAAAACACTCAGTGAAGCTGTGTAATTTTGCAATTGAAATCCAATCGAATTTTCTATTAAATTCGCTAAGTTTTTCTATGGAATTGTTTCGTGCGTGAAAAATTTTATATTTGCAATATAAACTACCAATCCAATTTGCACATGTTCTCCACTACTTCATTGATAAAATAAAGTTCGTGAACTACGTCTCAACTTAATTTCTACTTCGAAAAATATAAAGTGTTTCGTAGTACGTAATTGTAAATAGATAGACAATGAAAATGTAGATTACTAGATAATTGTCATCGTGATGTTTTATAATGTTCAACGTTCGTGATAAGATCAATTATAAAAATAAAATTTGGAATCACTTCAAACAATTACGTAGAGTTAATTGGCGCATGTTTGTAGAGTAGTAGCCAATCGAGGCTATTTCAGGATAATAAAATTACAAAGCAAATGTATACAAATTAAATGTAATGTCGGTCTTGTTGGGACCCCCCTTCGTCGTCTCTAGTAACTATTTTGTAGAAAAGGAAATATACAAAGAATTCAGAAAAAAAGTCTTGCATTCGTTTTTTCGTTTTTTATTCATTCCCAGTTGATTATACATTACATTTTTTCTTTTAACGTTAAAAAAAATTCTCTTGATGGATTATTAGTCTACGATATGGAGACGTTACAGACTTATCACAGGGTAAACACAGTCGCAGTAACGACGAATATATCAATAATTGAATGAACAATAAAGAAGAAAACATTTTGATCGTGCAAACAATCCTTTACAGTCATTTCTGCAGGAGAATGAGATAATTCATGAACTTTTAGGCAGACTATTTTGAAGCTATTTCAAAAACTATTGAGTTCATAAAAAAATCATAAAATTTTCTACATAAAACATCTTTTAAAAACTTTTTCTTTTCCAAGATAATTTAAGAATAATCAAAACTTTTGATCACATTCTTTCTCACTTCACAATACTGTGAAGTAAACAATCCGCCATTTCACATTAAAAAACTAATTTTCGTCGATTTTTTACTCTTCACAAATTCATGAATGGCTATCTCGTCTCAAACTCATTCAATTATTGATTGTAAAATGAAATAAAACGATGAAATAAAAATTCTTTTTGTTTTTCCTCATCTCACCATTATATAGATCTGAATAAAATACAACGTTTCTTAGATCTAGATACAATCGATATACATGCACATAATATAATATATGCTATATCTGTAAATATAAAAAAGAATAAAAGTGCCAAGTTGTACTAGAATAGAAAGTACGTTCACGAGGCAGTGAAGCTGTATAAATTCATCCAGTCATTGATTCAACTCCCCGAGGGGAATGGAAAAATCTGGGACAAAGTCATCAGCCCATTGATACGACAATTAAAATCGAGTTCAGAACCTCCCCATTTATTCGATCGATTTTTATGTACACTGTTTTAGCTGTTCTCCTTTAAGAATAAAATTGACTCCGAGGAATCGAACCAGCTCTCTCCCCTGCCCTCTATTTTACGTATATACAATGAAAGATCTCTTCATTCAGATAAACGATAAACTATAAAAGTCTTCAGTTGAATGGAAATTGCACAGAATTTTGTAAAAAAAGAAGAAGATAGAGATCAATGGCAATGAAGAATTAGCTTAACCGATTAGATTTTCGCTTAAATTTTTTTGTAGTTGAAATATCTCCCTCCAATAACTTACAATCGACTCAATGTATATTATTCATGATTCTTATGATGTTAGATTTTTTCGAAAAATCTATACAACAATTTGTTTCCTTATTCAATTAGTGGAGAAAAGGAGATGAGTTTGGAACGAAATTTGAGATTCTTTGGCAAATATTTAAGAGAGGAAGGGGTTCAGAGTGATCTATCAATACTTTCCTGTGAACCCGCTTCATTTCTAACATATTTGCATTGAGCTTATGCATAATAATAATTCATTCTTTCTCTCTTCAAATCCAAAAACTCAGATTATTTTACAAATAATCTCCAGCCTTATTGAATTTAGAGAAATTCATGAGAAGCCTTTTGGAAAACATTTCACAAAAGGTTTATTGACATTTTCCCCTAAACCTAATTCCAGGAATATTTCCAATATAATCCTCAATGATTTTTAAATTCATCTCCTTTATCACTTTAAAATCTCCCAAAAAGTTCAATAACAATCTCACTCACCAAAAAAAGAAAATTTCACTTCACTTTAATTCCGAAAGCTCAAAAAGGTCCAATAATTTCTCCACACCTTCACAATTGCTCAACTGAGGCCCCTGCACTGATCTTCAGCAACCCCCCGCCTGATCAGTATCATTCTGACTAGCCTTGCTAGTCCCACTGCCATCCCTACTAGGCCCAAACCCATTAGCCATCCTCTGGTAGTGGGGTTTCCACGCACTCATAGGTCTGGTGTAATCCAGATGATCGTACTCCATCTCCCCATTGTTCTGTTTAATCTCGTCATAAAGATGTTCAGCAGCTTTCTTGCAGTCCATCTCATCAATACTGTGGTAAACATTGACATTGGGATTTCCCAGGTCTGCATCCTTGTTCTTCAACGATGCCGAGTGATCGTACTGAATGCCATAAGCTCCTTTGCAACTCTCCTCATCCTCATCTCCACAGAAACCCAATTTCGCTCGTTCGCTGTTGACGTTTTTCGTTCCGAGATTATTTCGAATCAGACCATTGTTCAGGAGAGTGGCCGTTCCATCCTCGGTCTTGGGAGTCCCTTGATACGAGTAGACAGGATTGTCGAAGTGGTTGCGGTCTGGAGGAGTCACGGGCTCGGCTATGTACTGCACCTGGGCGATCTCCATCTTGAGATTGGCCACTCGACGCCTGTGGTACATCCAAGCCGCTAGAGTTATAGCGATTACTAGAATCGCTGCACATATCCCCGAGACGACACTGCCGTAGCCAGCCTCTGATTTTTCCTGGACATTTCTGGAGAAGATCTCGTCGTCGCAGTTGGGGCCTGTGTATCCGTGCTTGCAGGAGCAACCCTGGGCAGGGTGGCAGATAAAGTTGTCGTTCTTGCATTCGCAGGGCTCCATGCAGTGGTCCCCGTAGTAGCCTTCGGGGCAAACTGCAAGCATTCAATGGAATTGGTGCATTAGCTCTCTACTGAGGCTTTTTTTTAATTGTTTAAAGTGCGAAAATCTAGGTGATTTATTTACACTGTCTGTAGTGGATTTACAGTTTTCGTTTCAGCATTTTTTTAATGTGTGGTTACATTTCATTGTAGTCATACACTGAGAGAAAAACAAACACGTCCTCGAACAAGTCTTGTTTGGTATTCGATGCTCCCATACGTATTTTGCTCTCGAAAAATCTTTGGTTGACACGAAACAAGGGATAGAGAATGCAATTTTTTTTTTAACTACTAAATCTATTTTTTCGACAAAAATTTTTCATTCTGGCGCACTCTCTGCATGTTTGCCACAAAAAAATCCTTTTTTGATAATTTGCAAAAAACTATTTTCTTGGCACAAGTAAGACTTGCTTGAGAACTTTGTTGTTTTTCTCTCAGTGTATGTTTATTTTACCGGCTTGGACGAACTTGTGTAGAATATTTAGGCTTTACAGAGTTTGTTATTGAGACTTTACATTTCTTCAAATTTTATCGAGGTATTGACTTTAGGTTTTTTGGGACTACTATGGGGTTCTAATTCCGGTATCGTTTGTATTTCGAAGTACTTACTTTCTGTGCACCTGGCACCAGTGAAACCTGGTGGACATCTGCACACACCGTCGTTAGCTCTGCATTTACCTCCGTTCTGACATTTGCAGTGTTGCGTGCAGTTTGTACCGAAGGTACCCTGGGGACAAGGTGTTTGACAACGTTCGCCTTTCCATCCGGGGCGACACTGACAGATTCCTAGGGGAGAAACCGCGAATTTATTTATATCAATGATGCCCTAATGCGTGGATATTATGAAAGTATTTTTCAAATATCGCACGAATTATTGGAATTGCATTGTTGCTTGAGACTTGTTAAGAGAATCAAATTGGGAAATATGAAAATCGACATATGAAGTATGTAAAATATTGGATAGGTATGTTTTTATTTCGCAAAATCAATTTAAAAAACCGATCAACACGCGCCACACACTGCAGTAAAGCCTCAGAAAAATTCGAAAAAATTTGACATCTCATTTTGAAGTGTCTAGAAGCTCTATCAATAAAAATAACCGCCAAAAATATCATAAGTAATTTAGATTTTCAAATTTTTATTTCGAAACTTGGGGTCGTGTACAGTGTATATGGCTTATTTTCAGGAAAACATGGTAACTTTGGATCTGAATATATAATGGAAAGTAACACTGAACATAAAAAATCTCACAGCACTTCTTCAACTATACGATCTAGAGCACTCTTGATTTTCTTCAGATTTTTCCTAGATCTTTCAAATTTATCATTATGTCGATTTATGCTGGTGCGGCGCGACCAACGGCGTTCGTAACTTTTGTGCGACCAACGGAATGTTAAAAACACATCTGCATTACGACGCTATGATACTTCGCTTGGCGATGTCATACTGCACATGTTTTTATGTCACTGGGCCCAAAAACTGCGATCTTACCGAGCGAAGTGATTAAAATATTGTATGTCACACGGCGATAAAAGATAATTATCTGACGAATGTAACTTTATCATATGAGTCAGATGATATAATACTTTTCATTATCCATCGAAATAAAAAAGTACGTGCCTAATATTTTTCATATTCAGAAACGAAAAAGTTTCGTACACAATCACAATCGGAGAAATACAGTTCATCAAATTGTTGAAAATTGTGACCGTGTGCATGTCTTAGCGGGCATATGACTAAGTAACAGACCCATAAATTCAGACCATTTTACGTAATTTTCCAGCAAAATTGGGATAACTAATTACGCAAAACAATCTGCAAAACTCTTTCCCCGTGAAAATCAAAAGAGTGACAAGAATTACATAATCATTCAGGCTTCAGGAGAAATTATCCAAACTGATCCATCCACTGACCTGTGACATGATGACACTCCCCGTCATTCTTACAATCACATCGATTAGCACAGTTCAATCCATACCGATCCGGCGGGCACGGATGTTCGCAGGTGAGTCCCAAATACCCCGGTCTGCAGACGTACTGTCCCGTGACATGATCGCACGTCATATTTCCTAATTGAAAAATACAACCAAATAAAGATCCTAATCTTTAAAACGACCAATTCCCACAAAATGCTTGAAGGCGAAAAAGCAGCAGAGGAAGACAGAGAGATACGTAAATCGATAAAAATGACAGAGAAAAATCTTTGAGTTTCGAATTCGCAGTGAACAATGAGCGATGACGATTCTCCTCCCTGAAAATTGATTTACCATCGGCGATTATTCAATTGGTTAGTACATATTTGATGAATAGTTCGGTGTTAGAAGTTCTACAAGACAGTGAGTAAAGCATTCCAAGCCCAAGCAAGACCATTCCTTCTTAAAGTGGTTGTTCCAGTAGCGAATTGTGAAACAAGATTAGACGAAATTTTCGTAAAATTATCGCTTAATTTTAATAATTATGCAGCGTATTGATCTTTTGGAAAACAAGTTCAAGGAAGAATGCGAAGTTTACCAAAAACGTTAATGTTTTGGACAATTGATTACTATATTTCATTTTTTCTGGAATCGCATTTTTTCCACTCAATCTTCAATATTTTTACTAGAACGTGCGCAAGAGCATTGTAATGATCTCTAGAGTTGTAGAATTTTCTTCAAACTTCTGGCAAAATTTCCTAAGACGCCAGTGCGTTGCGCGATTACTAAAATCCAGGGCTATTGTTTAGCAAATTTTTCTCTTTATAAACTTTGAGATGATTTTGTCATAAATATCTTTGACTTTAAGAGACGTAAAAAATATTCATCAAGACCTTTTTAGAAAAGAAATAGTCGACTGTGTGTAAAGTTCATCTTTTTCGCACAAATGATCAAATTCTACTCAAATTACGCACGACCTCTGAACTTTAAGCACGTCGCGCGGAAAAACAACACTACGCCCGCCGAATCGCCGCGAGAAGTCAACTTTTCGAGCAGGCAGTGCAAAAAATATAAATTATCAAGAAAGGTCTCAACGAAAGTTTTCCATTCTCTCTCTGGGATATTCTGGGATAGTCAACATAAAATGGACTCTGAGTGAAATTGATTTGTTTTACAACTTCCCTACTGGTGTTTCGCTATCAACTTTTATCTTACCGTGCATCCTCTCGGGACACTTCTCGTTACATCTGACACCGTACCAACCATGTTTACACGGCTCAGAACAATCAGCGCCCTCCCAACCCCTGGCACAAACGCAACTTCCTGTCTGGGGGTCACACGAGCTATTGTTCATGCAGTTGCATTTGGTGTCACAGTCATCCCCATACATACCCGGCGGACATCTCGTCTCGCATCTTACTCCTGTTTATCACCATTTCTTTTATTGTTTTCTGATCAATAATACGTTATTCTCTACTTCAATATAATTTTTCTGAGATGATTTCGGTTTTGTTTCTCTTATTTTTTTTTGGAAGATTCAATGGAGAATTTATAATTTCATATGCATTATTAAGTTTTGAGGAAAATATCAAGAAAATTTTGTGTAGATTATTTAGTAAATCTTTCTCAAATGAATAGGCTTTGACACACACGTCAGAAACCTCTTTTGTTGCTGTTGAAATTTTCTACAAAACCAACTTTTGGTTAATTTGTGTAAACATCTTCCTCCCAAAGATATGTACCTAATATCAATCCCCAAATTTAATTCATAAGATTTTTAGGATTTCTGGTTCAAATTGACAAACCTCGCCACTCAGGCTTGCAGATACACCGCCCCGTGGCTGGATCACACTCAACAGTGTTCTCATCCTCACAATCACAGACCTGGTTGCACTCGTGGCCAAATAATCTCTTCCCGCACCTCTCCTGACAGTGCTCACCATGGTAGCCGGCCGCACACGTGCATGTGCCTGATTTCAAACATTTACATTGAACATAAAAGTCGGGTGAAACAGATGCGTGTGCAACGAGCCGAGAAAGTCTACGTTTCAGGTAGAATTCAACAATATTCAACTTCACTGCGGAAAATTGAATGTTGGAGGGGAGAGAAACCCAACACCAGAGGAGAAATTATTGAAAGTACAAGTCTTGTTACGACTTCTCGTTACTATTCTTTGTTGTTTTGAGGAAAGGAAAATCTCACCATTCTGGGGATTACAGGCGGCATTGTTAAGACACTGGCATTTGCCCTCGCAGTTTATTCCGAATGAACCATCGGCGCAGGGACGATCGCACAGGACACCATCCCATCCTGACAAAATTCGAAGACAAACGTAAAAACTGAACTTACCTTACATTTTTCGCGATTTTCTCCATTTTTTCATTAGCAAAACAAATTTGAAAAATTATGGAATTATAATTGTATCTCCCTCTGTCACTTTTCACCTTCAAAAACAGTTTTTGTTAATTCAATTGGTGAACTTGTGAATAAATTCTTTACACTGATACCCCAAATTGATCGATTTGTGGAGAAATCATGAATGAGTTCGAAGCATCTCCTTTTCTGTAAACTCTCTGACTGTAAATACCTGCAGTGCAGTTACACCGTCCATTCTCAGGTGAGCACGAGGCTCCATTCTTGCAGGAGCACTTCTGCGCGCAGTCCTCTCCAAATGTATTCTTAGGACAGACCTCGCTGCAGTCCTCACCCCTGAACCCAGCAGCACAAATACACGTGCCATTCATTGGATCACACTGGGCATTGTTTTTACAATTGCAGCGATTCTCACATCCCTTGCCGTAGTAGTACAATGAACAAGGCCGAGAGCAGGTAGCCCCGTCCCAGCCCACTTTGCAGACGCATTGACCGGTCCAGGGATGGCAGAGTTCGGTATTTTCTTTCTCACATTCACAAGCCTGCGTGACCATGAGAATAATGTAAAATATCGAGTCAATTTCTCATTTTCTAATTTTTCTTCTCAACGATTCGCAACATTTTTAGGAAAGGATGCAAATATTAAAAAGAAGGTTTTCTGATATTTTCTGTAAAGACTATTCTGAAATAATCTTAGAGGAAAGACCCTTCACCATATCATGAACGAGGATTCCTAATTAGACTAGATAAAAACTGTCTTGTTATAATTAACGAGTTTCTTGTCAAATGTTCTATAAAAATTTGGAGTGCATTGTTAATAGTTATAAGCTACCACAACATCTGTAAGTAGTTCACACGGTCTCATATTTATAACAGAGAAATATATATGCAAATTTAATTGTAATTGTTCCAAAATGCGTAAATAAAAAAAATGAAAAAAAATAAAAAAAGGCCCACATTATGAAAATTCAAAGAAGGTATATGACTTTGAAAAACAAATGTGAAAATAAAATAATAGGGGACTATATAATATTTGCAGCCGCTGTTGTGTACTGAAGCCCTGAGGTCGTCTGTATTAATAAAAATATTACTTTAGTGCAGTTGGGACCATAAGCCTCATCTCTGCAAGCCCTCTTCTCGCACTTCACTCCTGTCCACCCAGGACCACAAAGACAAGCCCCATCGGTGGGTCTGCAACCCGCTTCATTCTCACAAGTACAATTTTTCTCGCAATTATTGCCAAATTTCCCCTTCGGACAACTATAGAAACACTAGAAACAGAAATCCCGAGAATGAAAAATTGGAACCCCCGCAGTGGATTCCTGAAACCCTCATGCTGGATTATAAGTCTGATGAGGGCCTCAATGACTGCATTTAGCTGCACGAAGTGGCAATCAATTACCTGATCACCGTGGAACCCTGGCTTGCATATGCACGTGCCATTAACGTGATGGCATGCTGCTCCATTGTAGCACATACATTCCTCGGTACAGTGTTTACCCCAGAAACCGTCAGGACATCTGTTAGCACAAACTGGCCCCTGAAACGTGGGCAATACAGTAGAGGCTTCGTATAAGATACCCTAGGGACAGCAGGAGAGTGGAATTCCGGGAACCACAATGCCCCCACTACGCGCGCCCGTAGAGAGGAGAAAGGGTCACGAGAGCCAATGTGTCAGATCTTGGATTTTTCCAGGGGGAAAGTCGACTTTTGCCAAAATCGAATTTTTTAGCCGGGTGAACGTTGATTTCAACTATTTAAGCGACGGGCTATTAAAAACTCTCAAAAGTATGTGGAAAAAGTGAAAACTGAAAAAGTTTTTTTTTCCAGATTTTCGAAGGGTCAGATTTTCCGTTTTTTCCAGGGAGACAGTCGACTTTTGCCAAATTCGAATTTTTTAGCCGGGTGAACGTTGATTTCAACTATTTAAGCGACGGGCAATAAAAAACTCTCAAAAGTATGTGGAAAAAGTGAAAACTGAAAAAGTTTTTTTTTCCAGATTTTCGAAGGGTCAGATTTTCCGTTTTTTCCAGGGAGACAGTCGACTTTTGCCAAATTCGAATTTTTTAGCCGGGTGAACGTTGATTTCAACTATTTAAGCGACGGGCAATAAAAAACTCTCAAAAGTATGTGGAAAAAGTGAAAACTGAAAAAGTTTTTTTTTCCAGATTTTCAAAGGGTCAGATTTTCCGTTTTTCCAGGGGGAAAGTCGACTTTCACCAAAATCGAATTTTTTAGCCGGGTGAGCGTTGATTCTAACTGTTTAAGGGACGGGCTATTCAGAACTTTCAAAAATATGTGGAAAAAGTGAAAACTGAAAAATTTTTTTTTTCATCCCGAGCCAAAGGGTCAGTTTTTCCGTGTTTTCCGGGGAAAAGTCAACTTTCACAAAATCAAATTTTTTAGCCGGGTGAACGTTGATTCCAACTATTCAAGCGACGGGCTATTCAGAACTCTCAAAAGTATGTGGAAAAAGTGAAAACTGAAAAACTTTTTTTTTCAGATTTTCAAAGGGTCCGATTTTCCGTTTTTTCAGGGGGCGGAATGTTTAGAGAAACGGGAACGCGGACGATACAAATTTAAAACATTAAACACATAAATTGATTAGTTATCGATATTCATTCAGTAAGAATGAAAATTTCATTGAAATAAAACACGACCAATCATGATAAATATCTAGCTAATCATTCAACCATCACTTACAATCCATCCAGGAGTGCAGAAGCATTTTCCAGTAGTAGGTGAGCAAGATCCTCCATTCTGGCACCTGCACTCAGTCTTGCACTCCTCGCCATGCTTTCCCTCGGGGCAAAGGTCATCGCAGAGTGGCCCAGTGTACCCCGGGGCACAATGACACTCTCCAGACACATGATGACAGCTCCCACCATTCCGACACCTGCACTCCTCCCCGCAGTCCTGTCCATAGCGATCAGGTGAGCATTTCTGATCGCAATTGGACCCTGTCCATCCTTTGGTACATCTACACTTTCCGTCGAAGGGGTCGCAGGCTGCATCGTTCATACACGTGCAGTCCTCACTGCAATCGCGCCCCCATTTGCCCAGGGGACACTTAATATCACACGCAGGGCCACCGTAACCCGTTTCACATTTACACTCGTCTGGCGCAACGCACAAACCGTGTTTACAGTCTTGTGAGCAGATTGGAACACATTTGTCACCCAACTGCGTCTCCCCGTAGCCTTTACAACATTCGTCCACTGGTCTTTGTTTTGTTAGGGTCTGAAAGAAGATTAGGGGATGTTTATTCACGTTTTAGTATTTTTTTGGGGGGTTAATTCGGTGATTTTTTTTTTTGGATTTAGGTTTTTAGACCTACAAACAGGGATAGCGAAATTTTCGTAATTACATTTGTTGTAGCTCTCAATCGGCTCTACAGAAAAGGTTATAACAAAAATTTCGCTATCTCCCTTAGATTCGGAAATATTCCTCAAAAACTCAACTGGAAGATAAGTCGACTTAAACCGCTTTACCACTTCGCTACTGAATTGAAATCTTGCTTGAAAAAGAGTTCCTAACTTGAACAAGGTACTTGGATATCCTTAAGAATCCATCATCGCATGTTATTCTTGTCTTGCCAGAGGCTGAGAAACTGGTGTCAACAAACCTGCGTCTTGTAAACGGTCTTAAAGTCCATACGGTAAGTCGAGCATCTGGGTGGAAAGCTCAAGCACCAGGTGTTCTGTCTCACTTTGTAAGGTTTTTGCTCGGAAATGTTGACTGTGACGGTGTATGTTTCTTGTCTAGTGCAGACATTGGGCCCCTCCAGCCCGGCTGAGGCGACGAAGACCACGGTTAACGCCGTCGCGGCAATCGCCAAGGGTAATCTTGAAATCATCGTGACTTATTTTTGTTCCTCGCAAGCTGCAAAGCTCTCGGTCTTCTTCGTTGTTTCAGTACGTATTTATGGGGTTTCTGAAGGCGATGCCTCCAGGCTACTCACACCCTTGGGACTGCACCAGTCAACTATTCTAGGAGATGAGGGCGTCCAGTGGTGATCCATCAGTGGAGTTTTAACATCTCATCGAATCTGGAATTAATACGTTAATTCTGGATTCAACATTAATTTTCAATCGGTTAAATTAGTAATTTGAATAGAATGGGATTGAGGGACTCAACGTAATTGTGAAATTTTCTTGAGAATGGAGGACTTTTCTCTAGGAAATTCTTCTCATATTTACATAATTGAAAGAATTTCATATTTACTTCGTAAATTTACATTACGAAAATATTTCAGCGTAGATAAACAAAATTCGAAATAATTCGTTATCGAAACAGTCACGTAATTGACAGAATGGTTGCGGCTTTGAATTATACTTTTTTTGAAAAAAATATAATTAGTGTATTAATCCTATCTGGTCACCAAACGCGACCCTGCGACTTGGTCGCCTCCGCGGGGATTCCCCGCCGTGTTATTTAGACTTTAGCGTTGCCGAATTCACTCTACACTGCCCGGGCGAGATCCGATCAATTAGCCCCTCATGTATAGATATTCCAAATTTTTATTTTTTTCCCCATTGAAGTAGCTTTGAAGAAAATTGCGAGCTAATAAAAAACATTTGCTAGTTAGTACTTTTTTTAAAATAAATTGTTGAAAAATCACCCCTGAAAAAAAAGGCGTTATTTATTTCATTTAACATGGGAAAAAAATAATTCATCTGTCCGAAATAATTTGTTTTCTTCAGGAATTGTGGGAAATATATTGTTCCAAAAACTACTATAATTTTTTTGACATTTTAAGTGACAAAGTCGAATTTTTTTCAATTTTTCCGGTTAGACACGCAATTGTAATGAAAGAAAAACGACGCGCGGCGGGATTTCTCTCATAGGGTGACCAATCTAGGGTTAAAATAAAGATATTAAGATTTATTTTTCTGAAATTTCAACCGCAAAAAAAATTCTACCAACATTTTCCCTAAAATTATTAATTATCAAGATATCTATATAATTAACTCTTCAAACATCTCGGTATCTGTAAAAATATATAATTAAAAAATTGATTCGATCATAATTTTCGTCTGCAGGATTTTTCTAATTGGAAATATCCCCAACTCTACAAAAAAAAATTTCAACATTTTCTCTTGAAATCACTTTACAACAAGATACATAACAAAAATTAATGATTTTATTCTCAGAAAACTCCTCCAGAGTTCGGAAAAGAGCATAAATCCATCAACAAATTTCCATTATCAAGTACTCCATAAAAATAATTTATTGATATTCACTCAAGCGCTGGAATGCAGTTAAAAATCCAGAATGAAAAGAGACCTTCATCGAAACTCAACTCCCAAATGGTCTTGAATTACAGTAAACTCTGTCTACCCGACATTCTCGTGTTACTTCTACGCCCAACGCCAAGCGATAACGATCGTTTTCATTTTCACTTGAGCATCCGATCTCCCAGCCCAGTACTACCCAAATGCATTAGCATTTAACATCATTCAAAATTGAAATTACCCTTGTCGTTTTGAAAGGTATGAACGTGGAAATTATTGTTTCGGAGAATTTTGTGGCGTTTATCGAGAGTATTATTATAGAGGCTGAATCATTTGCAGCTCGATTGCCACTTGAGTCCACGGTGAATCATTAGATTCATGAGGGAAGGATATTAATGAGATTGTTTATTGACTGTCAGGTGGAATCATCACTGTTTTTTATTTTTTTCTAAATTATGAAGCGGTTAAATGCTAGAAGTTGGATGAAAAGTGTTTGCTCAATATAAAATATGAAATTATTGAATTGTGAGGGGTTTTTTGGGAGAAAAGCCAAAAGATATTCTTTATGATTTTTTTGTCCTTTCGAAATCGTTCATTATCGAAATATTGCTGGATTTAATAACTCTTTGTTGGATCAAAAATCAACTACATCTGTTCTATTTTATCTTAGCACTTCACAGCAGAAATATTTGTTTCAGATTAAAAAATACTAATAAAAACAAAATAAAACACGACAACAGAAAAATTAATTTTCTCCGTTTAGACGGAAAAACATAAAAAACGTTTTTTCCATTGTTCTTTCCTGCCGGCAGTTCGGCTGAAGGGTCGGCTATTACTGTTATTATTTCCATCAGCCCCTCGAAGGGCTGAACTTCAAAGTGCAGTCGAACATATGCCATTCCCGCATGAACTCCTGTGTCGAATGTACACCGTTGTATGCAGAGGGGGTTGGAATTAAAATGAAAGAGTCGACGACAGAGTGGAAACACACCCTTTCAAGTACACTCACAAATGTGTCACGTTTTCACTCGACTCTGTGGGCTCGAGGGGAGACAGACTCGTTATGGACGAATTTTCCAGAGCAAGTGTTGAGAGGAATAATGTCGGGAAAAAACTGGCGAAAAAATTGAATTTTGTAGATGATTTTTTTTCCATTCAACGACTTAATGTAGCTCTACGCTTTGGATATAAACAATTACTGTAAACGATTAGTCGAAAACTCGAGGAGATTCCCAACGGTACATTAATTGACGTTTAATTTCCACTGAAATTTCAGGCAATGTGGACATTGAAAAATTAAGCATTCCATTAAAAATGATCTGAAAATCAAGAAAATACTTGATTTTTCAGTTAAATTATTCCGTGAAAATTCAGAAAAATTAGGGAAATTCAGGGGAAAATTGAAAATTTCTTTCATTTTGTTACTGAATATTGATGTTCCATTGAAAATTTAATGAAGTCGTAAAATTTCCATGTCACTCGCACTGAAAACTCATGAATTTCTTTGAATTCTACCTAAAACTTGAAATTTTATAACCATTTTTCCCCTAAATCCAATTGAATATCACTCTCATGAGAATTACTATCACATATTCCATGAAATTTCAGAAAATTTCTAACATTGTTGACTGAACGAACATCTCAATGGTATTTTTACCAGCATTAAAATTTCCAGTGCCGACTAAAATGTAGAACTTGAAGATAAGGCGTGAATGCATCCCCGAAAATAGAGTTTTTCTCACGAAATGAAAAGAAAACCCGTCGGACGAGTCGAGAGATCGGAGTCGCGTGTTCAAAAACTCGTTCCCCCATCGGACCACATGAAAGCACTTCTGTACAATAATACCGAAAACGACCTCTGCCTCCATATCACAGTGGGCAAGGGCTAATTCATTTATTTAGCCATAATGTACAAGCCCGCATAGATGCTCTCACAGGATGTGAAACGAGAGCATATTGAACTCCGTAACTATAGTAAGCTTGTGTCCTCCAATGATCGATGATTATTTTATTCAGTCCCGAAATCTAAAAGTGAAATTGACGAAATAAGACAAACAGTCGAGATTAAATTAGAATTAAGAGACTGGGGACGCATCAAGAACGAGATAAGAACATTCAATGTTATCATTTCCCTCTCGGTGCAATCTGCAATGAAATTATATGGTTAATAAAACAGTTATGTAGTCAGGAAAACATGAGGTCCAAGAATTTTTGAAAAGCAAGAGCAGCAGAATTTTCGAGTGAAGTGAAGAAATATGAGGAAATATGAACTATAAGGAGAAAAGATTTGCTGAGTATTTCTCGAGTACAACATATATTTCTGGAGCTGCGACATTGAGGGCTTCGGAGGAATTCTATCAACGCCCATTTTCGTAGGTAATTAACTACAAAAAAGGTCGAAGGATATTTACAGATTAATCTGCATAAAATCTGCACGCCATGAATCCCAATAAACGATGAAAACCCCTTGCGACCATAAAGCGATTTCTCCGAATTCATGAAGGAAAAACACCAAACGAATAGAAAATTATTTTCTTATTATTTTCGGGCCCCGGATGTTCCAAAACCATATCCGTTACGATCATTTCACCCGCTCGCTCTATGCAACATTTATCTAATCACATCCACACGACAGAAGACTGAAAGAAAAATGTCAAAACACCAGCGAAAAAAAATGGTCTACAATTTCGTTGCCAATAGTACCCAATTAAAAACAGAAATTATTAGTTCTGGATATTAATTCCACACTAAGAACGAGATTCAAACGAGCCACATTGTGCCAGGTACGGTGAGTTATCATTGCATGTCTCACTCCCACGCACTCCTCATTGCGTGATAAAGTACCTAGACTTTGTATCCTCCGAGACCAGCAATCTTTTGTGATTCGTCACTGCATCCAGTGTCTCACAATGATTGAAAAATAATGAAGACCTCGAAGGCATGGAGGTCGTCAAATCTAATCAATGGAAAAACTATTAGTATTGGCAACGCTAAAGCGAGCTATTGGAGGACAATTGCGTAATCATTAGGTTACGACTACTCAGAATCCGGTGAAAGCGTGTATTGACGTATTCGAACAACACTTAAGATAGTCGCAATATTACTTGAGAATTAGTAAAAAATTATCTCGAGTTTTTAATCTCAAGCAAATATTGGAATGCCAAATCTTTGAATGGATTCGAAGAAAGTGATGTTGTAGTGTTATCAGAAGTGCTGAATACAGCGAGGATATTTTCAAGATTAGGGTGGTGACTGTGAATGACATTTTCTGTGTGATACGAGAAATTTAGGAGTGTTAGTTTGGATAGTTTGAGATTACTACTGCTATTCAATTAAGACTTGAGGTTCAGATATGGGGCCATGTGTGACGTCATATTCATGTAATGAAGAATGTCATAAAATCGAGGAGCGGGATGCAGTAAAAAAGAAACTTCCAGTTTCAAAGCAATGATTGATGTCGATCTATGTTTGTAAATGACTTAATTTATTGCATTCTCATAAGTTAGTGAGTTTTTCCATATATGTTGTTGATGAAGGCAACAAGAACTGTTTGAATCAAATAACAAATTATTTGTTAATTGTTAATTGTTTGAATGAAATAAGAAATTATTTCACGATATTTATAAAACCGATTTCAAGACCAAGAATTTTCTGAATTTGAAAACCCAAAAGTTCTGAATTCCAAAAACATTCAAAATTGGAGAAAATGTAACGCAAGTTCCCTTTTTTTCGTGAAAGTCGGACTAACTCACTATTTGGGCGTTGGAGTGGGGGCGGCCAATCCTTACGGAACGCGCTGAGAGTGGGGAAAACG